CACTCCATGCTCTTTGGCATATGTAGCAATGATACTTTGATACAACCTACTCTGCCATTTCAATAGATTTTAAATCTAGAAACAAATATCTTTTGTCATTCATGCACAAACTTAGCAGGGATATATTATTATCTATAAATTACTCCCATGTATTACGCTGTATCCTTTTTGAAAAGTTTTCAAAGCGTGTCATTTCTGCTCTCTCACTGCTGTTTTTTTCTTCTCTGCCATTTAATTCCACCTGTTTTTGTTAATGCCTTTCCTTCCCTAGCATTTGCAGGAAGGAGCATCCTTTAAAAATCAATTTTTACTTCTTGCATTTTCAATATTTTGTTTGAAGATCAGTGATTTTATCGCTGCTCAGGTGTTTTTATTGTTTTTATACATGACCCTGGCCTCCTTGAGAAGAACAGAAGTATAAAAATCAAATAACAATTATTACAGTTATTATTACTGTTATTTATTGTCTGGATTTATTCCTCCTTTCTGCCAGAGCATTTGAAACAATTAGTAACTAATGGCTGTTTGAAACACATTAAATCATCCTCCCTCCTCTATTAAATCAGCTTGAACAGGATAGTATGATAACTTCTGTTGAGATCTTTGATTGTTTAAAATGTATTATTGTTATTATAATTATTATTATTGCAATACAGCAGATTTTAGGTCCATCAGTGGAGGGTCAAGAAAACCAAGATGGTGGCCATGACCGCATGATCCTAGCAGTGCCCTTTTTTAAAAAAATGTGGGGTTTCGTTCCTGTGGCCACCATCACCATCTTGACTTTTTTTTACCCTCCTAATGGATGTATCTAGCTGGCAAATACAGCCTGTTTCTGGATTGCAGGAATGAGGGACACAGTCCACCAGCAGAGTTGCCCTTTACAGAACCCTCTTGAAATTAATAGAGGCCACTCAAGAATACAACCTTGCTCCCCCCCCCCAAATAAAAACCTAGTCTATCTCAGTGGCTTTCATCAAGATTCCCAGCTCTGCTGTTGGGCTTTATCCCTTCCTGAATTCATGGCTTTTGAATCTGGGTGTAAAAAACATCTGGAAAGCATCATAGCCCCTGACTTGACATGGGAAACCCTGTTTATTCCTGTCTAAGAGCTGGGGAGAGTCAGCCAAGCTTTTGGTCCAGAGACATTTATTAGGCAAAATCTCCTCTTCTGGTTGACCACCAGACTCAGTCAAGTTCCTAAAAAGGTAACTGGTGTGCTAACTCCATTACATTAACTGCTTTCATGTATCCCCTTGTACCATACATTGGTCTAGAAACTCAGGGTCCCTTTGCCAGTTGAACTGTCTAACAATGGACGTTCTATCAAGCAACATCCCAGGTTGAGTCCTTTGGCAGAACGTAGCAGTGGGGGGGAGGGGGGGGTAAGTCCTAGCCAGAGATCTTACTGGGCAAGGAGAACAAGGATGGTCTTTCACAGCTTAGGGTCGGAAATAGAGGGAGCCCCTTCTTTCTTGGCATTAAAACAAAAATGAATCTTAAAAGGATTTTAACAGAGGCAGAAGGAGCTGCAATTTGTTCTCTTGACCTCAGAAGATAAACCACTTTAATAATAGTAATAATAATAATAATTTATTAAACTTGTATGCCACCCTACTCTCAACAACTCTGGGTGGCTCACAACAAACAAAGAAATTACAATCAAATCAATAAAACATAAAAGTTAAAGATGAAGGATGGCAAGTGCAATGAAGCAAGGGGTCTCTCTCTCTCCCTCGCCAAAGCCCTGAGTGAAGTGCCAGGTCTTCATGGCTCCACTTTGCAAAGTTAGTTTCTCTCTCAAATTCAGGGAAATAGGTTCCATCAGCTCCATGCCAAACTCAGGGTGCCCGAGTTTCTAGGCAACAGACCCTCATTCCAGAAGGCAGGTGCTGCCACAGAAAAGGCACACTTTGGGGGTCCCAAGAGGTAACATTGTTTAATCAAAGGAGCCCGAAGAGCACCAAACGTGCAGGATTGAATCAGCCAGGAAGATGCTATCGGAGACAGGCAACCCCTCAAGGAACCAGGCCTTGTGCCATGTAGGCCTTTATCATTAATGCCTGCCCTCAACCTTTGCCCCTGTTGGAAGAAGTTCTTCCCTGTGGTTCAGAAGAACTCCTTTCCAAGACACCCAAAAAGGGCCATCCCCAGGGTGGGTCAAGAAAGTCAATGTGGTGGCCATAACTCTGCGATCAAAACCCTGCTGCTTTTTTATCTGTGTCACACGTGACACACATTACATCTACAATCATCCCAGTTCCTAAGAAATCCCCCATTAGTGAGCTGAATGACTACAGACCAGATGCACTGACATCTG